GCCACAGGGGCTTTGTAGGTTGAGCCAGAGGTAGAGGGCCTGAAAACAGAAGATACAGGGAAAGAGTGTGTAGCAGTCTCCAGAACTTTGTTTCCAGATAGAGGCTGTCCTGTTAGAGGGATGTCCAACAATAACTGGCAACTGGGCAGTTGTCCAAATATGATTTACAAGAAGGCATCAGTTTCACAAGGCTTTCTGTAAATTATTGCACTCCACCAATTGCCAGGTTCCCCGCTGACAGTGGGCCAGGGGGTCAAACAATTCAATCAGGTGCCACCAGTTATAAATTGAAAATCAGTGGGGTGCAAAATGGATTACCATCAAAATCCATTCAGGTGAAAAACCAAATTTCAAAACCCCTAACCTTGAAAAACCACCCCCTTCCTGATCCTTCACAATGCTCCGACACTAAGTTTTTAATATCCCCCAGATAAGCAAACATCAATAGAAACCTCAGGAGGCTGAAAGTGAGGAGCGAAGCCGTCCTATCCAGCCTCTCTTCAGGAACTTGTAAGTGTTGTGGGTTCTTGAATTAATGCCTTAGAAATTCTGTTAGATTCTAAAAGAGCAGTCCTCACACTTAGACAAGAACCACCTGGAAGGCTTTAGTGTTTTAGCCAGATTCTAGCTTGGAGTTTCTGTGTATCCGGGGTTAGGTGTAAGAAGATCCCTTTCTAACAAGTTCCTATGGGATGCTCATGCTCCTGGGGCCACCTCTAAGGATCTCTGCCCTAACATGTAGGAACAGTTTGGCAACTTGACTATATAGTAAGCTGATTAATAGTGACTTTAAAATTTTTCTTTTCTTTTTTGAGATTATAATTACACCATTTCCCCCTTGCCTTCCCTTCCCTTCCTTCCAACCCTTTCATATATCCTTCTTTACTCTCTTTAAAATCATGACCTCTTGTTTCATTAATTGTTGTTACATGCATGCATGTATATACATATGTATTCCTAAATATAACCTGCTCAGTCTGTATAATGCTATTTGTGTGCATGTTTAGGGCCAACCATTTGGAATGGGATCGCTAATTCATGTGCTCTTCCATGGGTAAGACTATTTCTCCCATGCTCAGCACACCTTAGTTGTCTATAGTTTTTGTTTGGGTTGAGACTTTGTGGTCTTTTCCCCATCCATTTTTGTATATCTGTTGTTGTCCTTGTTCATTCAGCTCATGTTTAGGCATGTTGGTGAAACTATATGGGTGTAGTTTCTGACATTACTAGGAGACATGATCTCACAGCAAACTCCCTGGTCCTTTGGCTCTGATGATGTTCCTTCCTCCTCTTCACCAATATTCCCTGAACCTTAGATGTGGAGATGTTTTATAGATGTATCTATTTGGACTGGGATCTACAAATCTGCATTTTGATCGATTGTAGTTTTCTATAATGACCTCTGTTTCAAAGAGAAGTTTACTTGATCAGGGGCAAGGACTCTGCCCTCTGCCCTTCTACCCACTTACCTGTGGGTAGAAGGACAATATTTGGAATGCAATTAGGGAGTATGCTGGACCAGGTAGTGAGGCCAGGGTCATAATGTTCTTTTGTTCAAAAAACTGAGAAGAGAATGGTTCAAAGAAAACCAGATTGATTTGAAAGCCTTGTGTTCAGAAATGAAGTTAGGAGGGTGGAAAAAAAAGGAAGATAGCCTTCCATCCTTATCACATTCTAGAAGACTGGGTGCTGAAAGTATGCACAGTATCATTAGGGCTGAAGTAAGCTCTCTGGCCTGTGTGGAAACTTAAATTTATTTGATTGCAAATTCTTTTTTTTTTCTTAATTAAATTTTTAAAATTTATTTTACATCCCGACTGCAGCTTCCCCTCTGCCCTCCTCCCATTCCCTCCCCCACCACCCTTTTGCCCCCCCTCCCCAATCTACCCCTCCTCTACCTCTGTTCAGGAAGGGGCAGGCCTCCCACAAAGCATGGCATATCAAGTTGAGGTAGGACTAAGCTCCTCCCTTTGTCTTAAGGCTGGACAAGGCAACCCAGTATGAGGAGTAGGTTCCCAAGAGCCAGCCAAAGTGTTAGGGACAGGCCCCGCTCCCACTGCCAGGAGACTCACTAGTAGACCAAGCCACACAACCATCACACATATGCAGAGGGCCTAGGCTAGGCCCATGCAGGCAGGCTCCCTAGCCATCGGTCCATAGTCTGTGGGCTCCCATGAGCTAACTAGTTGCTTCTATGAGTTCCCTTGTGATGATCCTAACTCTCCTGGCTTGGACAATCCTTCTTCCCTCTCTTCTATAGGATTCCCCGGGTTTGGCCCAGTGCTTGACTGTGGATCTCGGCATCTGTTTCCATCAGTCACTGGATGAAGACTCTCTGATGACAATTGGGGTAGTCACCAATCTGATTACAGGAGATGCCAGTTTGGGCCACCTATCCACTATTGCTAGTTTTAGCTGGGGTCATACTTGTAGATTCGTGGGAGGTCCTTGTTGTAGCATGAATCTTAAAAAGTCTTATTAATAAAAACAAACCCGGAGCCAGGTATTGGGGTGAACGCTGGAAGATCAGAGAGACAGAACAGGTCACAGCTAACCTCACCTGGCTAACTTCTCAGCTGATCCTGTTTCCTCAAACTGGAAGCCTCTGAGTCCTCATCCAGAATTGATCTCAGCTGAACTGCTGCTCAAAAACCTAAAAGCTTAACCGACCTAGTTTCTGGTCCTCACACCTCATATACCTTTCTGCTTCCTGCCATCACTTCCTGGGATTAAAGGTGTGTGTCACCATGCCTGGCTGTTTCCAGTATGGCTTTGAACTCAGAGATCTGTCTGGATCTCTGTCTTTGGAGTGCTAGGATTAAAGGTGTGTGTGTCATCATTTTATGGCCTCTATATCTAGTGGCTGTTCTGTTCTCTGACCCCAGATAAGTTTATTAGGGTGCACAGTATTTTGGGGGATATAATATCACCACACCTTGTATTAGGTTTCTATCTAACCCTGAAATGCCCACCCCCATCCCATATCAAGACATCTCTTTCATTAATCTCCTCCTCCATCCACCCCTCAACCTGATCCCTCATGTTCCCATCCCCACCTGCCCCAAATCTACCCAGGAGATCTCTATTTCCCCTCCCCAGGGAAATCCATGCATCCCCCTTTGGGCCCTCCTTGCTACCGACCCTCTCTGGGACTGTGGATTGTAGCATGATTATCCTTTATTTTATAGCTACTATCTACTTATGACTGAGTACATACCATGTTTGTCTTCCTGGGTCTGGGTTACCTCACTCAAGATGATTTTTTTTCTAGTTCCATCAATTTACCTTCAAATTTCTGGATGTCCTTGTTTTTAATAGCTGAATAATACTCCACTGTGTGAATGTACCACATTTTATTTACCCATTCTTCAGTTGAGGGGCATCTATATTGTTTCCAGGTTCTGGCTATTATGAATAATGCTGCTATGAACATAGTTGAGCAAGTGTCCTTGTGGTATGATTGAGCATCCTTTAGGTATATGCCCAAAAGTGGTATAGCTGGGTCTTGAAATAGATTAATTCCCAATTTTCTGAGAAACCATCATATCAGTTTCCAAAGTGGTGGTACAAGTTTGCACTCCCACCAGCAGTGGAGGAGTGTTCCCCTTGCTCTACATCCTCTTCAGCATAAGCTGTCACTTAGCCATTCTGATATAAGTTGGACTCTCAAAGTCATTTTGATTTGCATTTCCCTGATGGCTAAGGATGATGAACATTTCTTTAAGTGTTTCTCAGCCATTCGAGATTCTTCTGTTAAGAATTCTCTGTTTAGGTTTGTACCCCATTTTTAAATTGGATTATTTGGTTTTGATTGGATTATCTAGTTTCTTGACTTCTTTATATATTTTGGAGATCAGCCCTCTGTCAGATGTGGGCTTGGTGAAGACATTTTTCCATTCTGTAGGCTAGTGTTTTGTCTTATTGACAGTGTCCCTTACCTTATAGAAGCTTTTCAGTTTCAGAAGGTCCCATTTATTAATTGTTGCTCTCATTGTCTGTGCTATTGGTGTTCTATTCAGGAAGTTGTCTTCTGTGCCAATACATTCAAGGTTATTTCCCCTTTTTTATTCTATCAGGTTCAATGTAACTGGATTTATGTTGAGGTCTTTGATCTACATGGACTTAAGTTTTGTGCATGGCGATAGATATGGATCTATTTGCATTCTTCTACATTGCCAACATTCAGTTATGCTGGCACTATTTGTTGAAGATGCTTTTGTTCCCCATTGTATAATTTTGGCTTCTTTGTCAAAAATCAGGTGTTCATAGGTGTGTAGATTTATGTCAGGGTCTTATTTGATTCCATTGATCCACCTGTCTGTTTTTATGCCAATATGAGGCTGTTTTTTATTACTATAGCTCTGTAGTAGAGCTTGAAATCAGGGATGGTGATACCTCCAGAAGTTCCTTTATTATACAGGATTATTTTAGCTACCCTGGTTTTTTTGTTTTTCCATATGAAGTTAAATATTGTTCTTTCAAGGCCTGTAAAGAGCAAATTCATGTTTTAACTTGAAGGTGGTGTATGCATGTGTGTGCATGTGTGTGTGTGTGTGTGTGTGTGTGTGTGTGTGTGTGTGTGTGTGTTGTAGTTGGGTGTTCATGTGCATAGGTAGGCAAGAGGACACCCTCAATGTTGTTGATAAATATTGTTCCTCAGGTATAATCAACCTTTTTAAACTTTGAAAGTTGGTTTTCTTAAGATGAGGCAAATGTGGGCACCACTTTTTTTAAAAAGCTTCTAGTAGTCCCAATTTTGATTCTTTCACTCTATGCATGACCCTAGAGATGTATTTTCCTATCTAAGGCAGTGCAATCTGATTGCAGTTTTACTTTCTTGTTCTTTTTGAGTCGAGCTTATTGCCCAGTATAAACTGTAGCTATCATCAGGCTCAACATGAGACATGTCTCTTTCTTCAGGATGGATGTGTGGATCCCTAGGATTCAGAAGAGGTGGTCACTGCCTCATTCACACTTGGTTTTCAATTTCTTTCCTCCAGGAGAAATTGAGAGATGCACGTACATCAAGTACCACTACTCCTCAGCAACCATCCCCAGGAACCTCACATTCAACATCACGAAGACCATTCGTCAGGATGAGTGGCATGCCCTACGTAAGTGCAACTGCATCTCTTTGGCTGTGACTGTGCTGTGGTGTCACTTGGAGGGCTTTGGGGAGGGGATTGGACAACCTTCTGAGCTCTGTGGATGGTCTCAGAACACTGGATCTACTATCTATGGTGACCACATCTGTGGGTCAGAATTGCCTGAGTTGGTTCTGATTGCATTGTAGATTTGTGGAGTTTGTTTTAGATTTAAAAAGACCAAACCAACCAAACAAAACTTAAGCCATTATCAGTTAGACAGTGATCTTAATTCATTCTTCTGGTAGGCATCTGAAATTGCACCTACCCAATGGGATCTGCTTTTGGGACTTAAATCCTGCGCATCTCCAAGTTGCTTGTAATACTGTTGTGGCAAACTGCTAGTCCCCTGTGTTGTTATTTGTAAAGGGTGAGGTATGCTCATGGGTTCAGGCTGTACCTAGGGGATCCGCACCTAGATGCAGGTCATTAAGCAGGAGGGTTGGCTCTGCTTAAAGCTTCTTTGTGCCTTCAAATGATAGCAGCTGGCTTATGTGTGATCACTCAGCAAAGGGCCAAATATCTATGCCCATTGGTTTGGGAATTTCTAGTCTAGGGATCCTTAGAGACTTGCATTATGATGAGAGAGTGACTTAATGAGTAAGCAAAGATGGTTAGCTATTTTTACCCTTCTTCTCCATGAGAATCCACTGCCTGTCTGTGGAAAGAGAGCTCTCACTCACTGCTGGCCCCATTTTTCATGTTGATCTATCCACCCTGTGAGGAAGCATGATGCACGTCTATTGGGTTTGCCAGGTGTTTTTTCTACATCATTTTTTCCACCCAACATCCAAAGGACTGGGCCAAGTTTATAGTTGCATAAACATGAGAATTTCTTTATCTCCCCCCCCCACCATAGCTAGACTCCCTCACTTGATGGACTCTAAAGAAGACAGTTCTTTAAGCTAGAGCATTCTTCTTCATTTTTATCTTCTTGCCTGGTTATCATTGCATTCATGGAGCCCACAGGGCATAGTACACTTTGGGGTTTGATGTTAAGCATCCACAGCTTACAGTGGGGAATGCAGAGGTAAAAGAGCAGAAGTAAAATTAAAACAGAACATTGGTTTCAGTGGGGGGCGGGGGGCACACAAAAATGGGCTTCCAGATGATGGCCCCTCAATGCTCCTGGTCTGCAATGACAGAGCAGGTGCCAGGGGATGGCCCTGCAAGCCATACAGTTGTCACTTTAGAGGCACCAAGTAGTATGCAGGGACAGAGTGCTAATGTTCAAAGAGTGTTCCCATGTGCTAGCCATTGAGTTAAGTATATCACATACATATTTAATTTCAATGTGAGATTGGCCTTAGAGACTCTAGTAACTAGGGTTATTAATTTCTTTTGGATGGTAGGCATGGAAGACTCCAAATATAGAAATATATGGTGATAATTTCTGATTTCTCACAATACGCCAGTCTAGTATAGTCACTTGAAGGGATGTTTAAGGTGCATAAGTCTTGTTGATTAGCCATACAAGTATAATAGATTCTGGGATTCATAATAAGATTCAGAATCTAAGAGGGAAAAATTACTGACATTTCCAATTCAAATGGACTCCGTCTGTCTGAAGTTCCCGAGTTTCTCAACATACCAGGCATGTACTGGGTATCAAGGCCGTGGGGAGCTCTTTCAAGGAGCTGGAGTCTGGGGGCGGAGAAGGGTGGGGTTGGAGAGAGACACTCACAAAGCAAATAATTACAAGGCAATGTGATAATTACAACATTAGAATTGCTTCAAGCAATTAAAAGAGTTTGTGGGTTTTTTTTTTGTTGTTGTTGTTGTTTTCAGCCAGAAGGAGAATGATTTCAGTGTAAATTGCAGATACTTCAAGGGAAGCCTGGTGCACTCTGTTGGCTGTGGCCAGGGTAGATGGTCTAGAGTTGCAAGAGATTTTCCATCATGCCATCCTTGGAAGTATGCCACATGGCATCATCCAAGAGAGCGAGAGCTTTGTGGGGGTCCTCTTTGAGCTGTGTGTCTCCAGGGTGCTCGTTCTCCAACTGTAGTGCTGCTGGGCTCTGAAAAACCTAGCAGGCAGCTTCTGTAGCCAAGCAGTGTGCTGACTTCTATTTTTAACAAATCAAAGCCATTTCGACAATTGATACAAGCAAGGTCTCTAGCCCATGGTAGTGGGTGAAGTTGATGCTCCCCTTTGGTGACGGATTCATTTGCCTCTTTCATGAAGTCGCCTAATGGGCTATTAAGCTGGCAGAGAGCATTTGCCTGGCCTGACATCCATGACAGCTATTTTAAGCCAGAGGGCGAGTGAGCATCTGTCACAATTGAAGTTGGTCCTAAGCATAACCGGCAATGCCAACATGATGGGAAGGCATGGTCTGTGTCTATGTTAATTTTCAGAGGTCAGATTTTGATGGCATGAGGTAGGCATAGGAATGAAAACCTCTTTTGAAGTATAGTGGAAGAAATTAAACATTAGGAAACTCGTGTGATCAGCTCTGTAAAATGTGGGAAGACCTGATTTCTTGGTCTGGGGATGAAGCTCAGTGATAGAGCACTTACCTAACAAACATATTCAAGCCCCGGAATTTATCCCTATAACTGGAAAAATGAAAGCCACACCAATTTCTTAATATCATTGCATGCTTTAGTAATCTAAAGGCTACAAAATAAATTAATCTGGTTATCATTTTGTAATTTGATCTTAATATCTGATGTTTCATAATTTTTTTCAGATAATTTTTTTCTTAGAGGAAGAAATGGGATGGGGGGGTTTAACTTGTTTGTTCTGAAATAACTTAAGACAAACATTTGAACTTTGGCTCACTTTGAGTCATACACTTTCCATTGGGAATTTGCATGTGGCCTGATCACTGACCCCTGTTATAGGAAAGAAAAAAGAAAGCTTTCAAGTAGGAAAAGGACAATTTGGCTTAAAGCTACATTACACATTTTGAAAAGTTAGCCCCACCAATTCGAAGCTTAACCTTGGGCTCTAGGCTCTCCCATGTCATGGTCATATGAATGGCAGGTGAAAGGACAAAATGACCTGTAGGGCGCTGTGCTTCCAGATCCCAGCGTGTAAAATGCTTGCCCCATGGGTTAAAGGCTGGAGGGTATTTTGTACATATTTGCATGTGCACAAGTGAGGGGAACAGAGGCGTGGTCTTTATGTTCCAGTGCTCTGAGTGAGTTGTGACAAGGTTCTGACCCTGGCTTGGATGGCAAGGGTTAGTGGGGTCTCACAGGTATCTTTTTCTCTCTCTTATCATGGGGGATGACAGAACTCTTTTTAGAGCTGCAATCTGTGTCCTTGGTCCACTCAAGCCTGACTGTCCTTCAGCATTGTCAACTTGCTTTAGTCCCAGCTCAGGTGGGTGGCAGGGATGAGGCAGCTGCCTCTGTGGGCTGTAGGTGTTCTGTTCCCCTCAGTCAGACCTCCTGCCATTTCCAGGGCTGGAGCAGGACAGGATAGTGTCAGTGGCCATCAAGGAGTAGACAGAGGCCTCAGGAGATGAACTTAGCCAATGCCACTATTTGGATCAGTTGTCTGGTTTAATACTCTACACATGATAGAATCTGATTACCAGTGGCCAGGGGAAGCTGGCTGGCACTACTGTGTCATTTCAATGGCTCGTCTCCCTCCTAGAATATACCCCTGTGGGCTTTTCACAACCTGTAATTCAGTCTGAGGGGGCAGCACTTGTTTAGTGAATCTGTGTCGTCAAGCACCCCACCTCCACCCCCACCCATAACCCTGGAGGCTACCCCTAATGGCTCTACCTTTGTCCTTCCTTTGTTATGTCCTCTGACCTGTCTTGTCTGCATAGCCAGGATCCTGCACACTTGCTCAAGGGATAGCAAGGGCAGATGAAGGGTATCTCTGAGGGGCCTGAAACAGGGACCCAGCAACTGCGCTGGACTAGCAGAAGCGCCATGACAGATGCTGCTGGGGCAGACACTTGCCTGAGAGGTGGGAAGGTTGACCCTTCTGGTTCTGACTTCCTGATCTGCCTGGCAGGGACTCAGTGGGCAGTTGTGCCTGAGGTCCCCTGGTGAGAGCCCCGAGAGACGCAGTCAGTGTGTTTTGCCATTCTGCTCGGTGTGGACATTTTGTCATGGCAAAAACTCATGGTTTTGCCATTCTGCTCAGTGTGGACATCTAAGGGGTTTCAACTCAGAGTTGGTTGCCTCCAGCAGTGAAGATCAAGGTGCTGGGACTCAGGTCTTCTTCATTATCTTTTGAGAGGCTGAGAGCCAAGGAAACTGGGATTTTTTTTTCTTGAAGCCTCCTTCTGTCAGAACTGAGGGTTTAACTAATTAGATTGGATGGCCACATTGCACATTTCCAGCTGGTTGTGAGGGAACTGGAGGTGGGGGTGGAGGGGAAGGGGAGGGAAGTAAGGAAAAAGGGATGGGAAGGGGAGGGAAGACATTCTTCTCTTGACTTTCTGGCCTCAGGCTACAACCACACCCAACATGGGCTCACACACATTGGCCTTGAAGCCCTGCCCCAGGTACTTAGAACACGACACAAGGCCCAGGCAGGCCTGTGTTCACCTCTAGTGTGGGCGTCCTGCACCCTTATCCTGTGCTGCAGCCGGCCACATTATCAGTGTGATTGAGAACATTTGTGCCACAGTGATCCATGCTGCAGCTCGCTGGGGGCTGCCGAGAAAGTCCAGCCTGTCTCAGAGAGGGAGAAGAGAGAGGAGAGGAGGGAGGGGAGAGAGGGAGACAGAGATGGGGAGCTAGACCCTGTGCAGGAGACAAGGCATTGTAATCAACTGTCGGATAGTTAATTCTTGGGAATTGAAACATCCATCCTGGAAGGAGGAGAGAAGCTCGTGCACCTTAACAGGCTTAGGGAGTTCAGGAAGTTACAGGATTTCCCCGGTATATATATATATATGGCAGCACCAATTGCTGTGGAAAGGAACTACTCTCACCATTAGAGTTGCCTGCAACTGTGCAGGGAGGGAACCGCAGGGATGCAGTTTTATGAGTTGTCA